CTTTGTGTTCTCTTTAATTTTCTTCTAGTGATTTATTTTTCTTTCTATCTACCTTTGATTAGTGCTCAAAATATCTTTAAGAAATGGTAAATGTAGCAATGATATATTAAATGTTACAATGACTGTTTTGTAAAATAAAGTAAATGTTCCAACGGTTGATCAAATATACAAGATCTTATTTAAGATATCCTCTATTATAAATTTTATGTCTACGATCCTACAAATAATGATATGTCACAACAAAAAAGACGTGAATCACACGACTATATATGATATTTAATAGCTTTCATAAATGAAAATGAAAAAAGTATTTTATGAAAGGTTACGAAGAAAAATCATTACTGTAAATGACATTTATTTACTGTTCTCTTACAAAAAGTTAGGACAAAGACGCAAACAAAAGATTACAACTAAAAGACGTAGACATAAAATTCTGACATAAAAATACTTGAGAAAATTAGGACGAAAAATGCGAATTAAAAGATTACATTAGAAAGACACGAAAACTTTTCTACGAAAACAGATAATTTTAATGGTATTTTTTCGATTTGCTGCAATTATATAGATTTATTTAAAAAATATTTATAAGTTAGAAATGCACAAAGAAAGGTCCCCCATCGTTTATTTAACTTTTCTACTGACTGTATTTGATAGGATAGGACACAAACAATAAATATGATTGTTGGAGCAATTAAAATTTATAGGTCCAATCAAGTAATAAATTTATGTTTACTAGTAATAAATACTACTGTTGAGACAATTATGATTTACGTAGTAGTAAATAGTGTTTAAATAGTGTAAACAAGCATGAAAGGGTAATAAATAGTGTTTTTCCACTAAGAACAATGCAAATATTTTTGGAGAATATACGTAAACGATTTGAGCATTTTCTCAAAATATTAAATATTAGCCAATGAGGAATATATTAGATAAAGCTTCGCCCTACATACACGTAAATCCCCCAGCCCAAAGGGTTATAAACTTATAATTAGTATTTTTCTTAATATACCAACGTTAATTAAGGCCTTATACAAGGCTGTTTTTGAAACATAAAATTTGAAAAATAAATTTTGGGTACTCTTGAAACACACAATTGAATATCATAAAGTATATGTTTGTAAACGCGAGGAAAGATCTATTTATGGGTCTATTAATAAAAAAAATAAAAACGATCCATTCATGTATATTTGTTAACTAAAATATATAATAATATCCAATGTTCCCACAACCACTAATAACTTTGAATAATTACAATTATAAAACCAAAATTACAATATACAAATATGCTTGGTTACCAAAATTTCATAAATCACAAATTTAGCGCGGAAAACAAACATTAATAAAAATATTACACCGCATTTGTTACTTTGTACAAATTTAAAATCTATATCATACAATAATTTTTTACATGAATCTTTTAAGCAAAAAAATACTTAAAACATCTAACTTCCAACACTAAGGCCATCCCTATTGCACAATTATTATGGGTCTCTTAATTAGGCATGTTAATCGAGCTAGACTGGTCCGGTCCGGCCCAAAACCCGTAAAGTCCTCATATATAAGAGCCCGGCCCGAAAAGTTTTTGAGCCTATATTTCAAAGCCCGGCCCGGCCCTAACAGGGCTACATGGCTTTACTTACCGATAAAAAAAATCAATTTTTAAGTTCATAATAGTTTTGCAAAAACAATATTTAAAGGTCTACCATAAAAATAATGCATCAAATTTTAAATAACTTATCAATATTCAATAAAACTAACTTAATTTAAGTGAAAAAAATGAAAACCAAATAAATTATTTACACTATAACCCAATAAAATACTTTAAAGTAGATGATAGAGTCAAAATTTAATATATATTTTGATGATTTCAAAATCAAGATACTTATATATATATATAGTTTTAGCTTTGTTCATTTTTGATATTTATAAATAATAGAAAATATTATAGATAAAGATTTTAAAAGTAATAAGTAAGGCTAGTAAGTAAATATGAAAACTAAGTCATTAATCAAATCTTCTAATCAAACTAAAGTATTAAAAAAAATTCAAAATATATTTGTTTAAGGGTTTTGCGGGCCGGCCCGAGCCCGACCTGGTTAAGCCCAAAAAACCCTTTAGCTCGAATGGGCTTAGCCCAAAAAGCCCGTTTTTTTCTGGACATATATATTTAAGGTCGAACCCGATGTTTTTCAGGGCCGGGCCAAACTAGCCTGCGGGCTTTAGCCCTAACTGACATGCCTAGTCTTAATATTATTTTAATTAAATTATATTATAAGTGTCTTTTGAAAAAACTCAATCAAAATAAAAAATTTTTGAGTCAATTTCTATATGGATAATTTGACAAAAACTAAATAAATAAATAAATAAATAAAGAAACTTTAAATGTGGTGTCTCACATTATCTAAAAATTTTATTATATAATTAGTATTTCATTTTTTAATTATATTTTATGAACACTCTCTAAGACCATCTCTATTAGTCATTTTCTTATGGATGTCTACATATTTTTTATAATTAATTTTAACGACAAATGATGTTAAAATATCTTTAAGTAGGCATATCAAGACAGTTTTTAGACTTTAAGGATACCTACATGTAAATAGTATTAAAATGAAGTATTAAAAATGTTGAAGACATTCACAAAATATATTCAATGTAGATGGCCTAACAATCCATTTTTCCATATTGACATTTAGATTAAAATCAAAACAAAATCTGGCAATTTTCCTCCGCGTTATAGCGCAGATCCGAATCTAGTATCTTCTTAAGGTCGAGACTAAAACATGTTATATGCTCTCGTTCCAAATGTCATTCGAATCAGCGACTTCTAAGTTTTTGCGTCATCCTAGAAGAAAATTAGAAGGAATTCGAAGTTTATCAAATATCCACATATATGTGACTTATTTGAAGACATGAGAAATTTACCTATAGAGAATTGGTAATATGTTAAGTTTCAAGGTTTCTACATTGATTTAAACTACTAGAGATACAAAATAATTATAATGCCAAATAACTTAAACTACTAGAGATACTAAATCATTTAAACTACTACATGAAAAAGACTGCACTTTGGTTAGTAGCGCTAAGACTTTTGTGCTCGTAGCTGATGGTAAGATCGTAAGCGGAGAATTAGATGGCATGAATTTGGGGTAGCTCATACAGATAGGTCTTATGTTAATAACGTTTTAAGACCAATATTATTGGGGTATTTTAGGGGGTTAAGATATCCTGGTTTTTACAAAAGAAACTTTTTGCTGATTTTTTTGTTTCCATCTTTGTAAGGACATACGGAAAGATAATAAAAGAAAGGCTGATAAGAAAAAGAGGCTCTCCGTAGATACAAATCAATCAACAATTTTAAAGAGATGTGGAGGCAATCACTGCAATAGATGAGGATCATGAGGTCACCGCCTCTTACCATATGCTCACAAGCCATTGCACTAGTCACCTCACCAACCACCAGACCACCAGGAACGATACCAGCTACTTCAGTACAGCTACTTCAGTACCTTCTCCATCAGTCTAAAATTTTTTTACCTTCTCTTATGAATATGTTAGATCTTTCGAAGGTTTAATATTGTGTAAGGCATTGATTAGCAACATTTTGGCTTATCAAATTTATATTATCATTAGCGTCTAATTAATTTACTATATCTATTTAAGCGTTGCTAAACAGTTTCTAATTTTTGACTACTTAATAGTCTTAAAACCATCTCAAATATAGAACTAAATAACTAAATCCTAGATTAGTGTCTATTATAGGCGAATGCCAATTTTTTCACAAAGTAATCGCTAATTAACATGACGTTGCTATTTCGTCTTATATATACGACTATTCATATCATTTTCTTCAAACTTATTTATAAGTTTTATTTTCCAAAAATACATTTAAGATATATTTTTTCAAAAACACCACAAAACTAAATCCTAAAACACTAAAACATACTCTTACAAACTATACCCTAAATCTAAAATATACAACCCAAACCTAAAATAATATATATATATATATATATATATATATATATATATCTTTAAAAATTAAATTTATGTCTATAATATATATATACATATATATATATATATTTTAAATTATTGTGGTATTTTGGTAAAAATAAACAAATAGGGTTATTGTTGGAAGAAAAAAACTTAAAATGTGATATTTTAAAGATTTTTTAATATTGTAAGGATTCTATATATTTATTATATTATAGATAAATCGATAATTAAGTTTTATGTAGATTGAATGATAGTACAATACTATGCGAAGGCCCAAGTCATGAGTTATGTACCCAAACCTTCCAGGAAGCAAGAGATGAGGCCAATGAATCAAGATCGTCAAAGACTTTCCAAAATCATCTTTAAATCCAATAAGAGATCTTGTTTCAAACCATCACCACCCATTGGTTCTATAAGAGAGAGTGTTAAAGCCATCTTTTGAATGATGTATAATTTTTTTTTAATAGCGCCAAAGTATTTATATTTTAAAATAGCATATTTTAATCATTTACTCTATAGCTAAAATAAACTACATTCATATATTTGAATCTTCTGACAAATTTTCCATACCACATGATCATCGATGCTTTTGTATCATATGTCATTATTTTGATTACTTGCAATCTTGCATCAAAATTCAAACAAACAAATAAAAATACCCAAAAACACATAAAAAATAATAATGATATATAATAAGTACCGTTAATATGGAACATCAATGACCATATGGATTTAAATTAACGAAACATACAAATTTATCTCTCTATACATTGTATTGAGTAAAAGAGGGATACTATTTGGTCGGTAGCAAAAATAAAATGTTGATCATATAAACATGTTGATAAGGAAAAGGTCCCTTGCATTAAATCTTCATGCAATAATTGAGCTTCTATTTTCAATTTTTCTTTAACTACCAACTGTCCATCTTAATAACAACTGTCTATTTATAGTATATGTTTGCGTATCCCGCTTTGCTTACAAAACAAACATTCACTAAACATTCAAAGATTAAGAAGAAGAAGATGGAAGACTTGGCGTTATGTGAAGCAAACAACGTTCCTCTAACTCCCATAACATTCTTGAAGAGAGCTTCGGAGTGTTATCCTAATCGAACTTCGATAATCGATGGACAAACTCGTTTCACTTGGCCTCAAACCTATGACCGTTGCTGTCGTCTAGCCGCTTCTCTCATATCTCTTAATATTACCAAGAACAATGTGGTAATATGTCACACTCACTCTTTATCTCTCATTCATATGAGGTATGTGACTATAAATGTGAATTTAGGTGTCCGTTGTGGCTCCAAACATACCGGCCATGTATGAGATGCACTTTGCTGTTCCCATGGCTGGAGCTGTTCTTAACCCTATCAACACTCGTCTCGACGCAACATCTATAGCCGCAATCCTCTGCCACGCCAAGCCTAAGATATTATTCATTAACCGCAATTTTGAGCCCTTAGCTCGAGAAACGCTCCGGCTAGTATCATGTGACGACTCACTACTGAACCTGCGGGTCATATTCATTGACGATATCGATGCACCTAAGAAGGTTTCATCCGGGGAGTTAGACTATGAGGGTCTCATCCAGAGAGGAGAGCCTTCTCCCTTGTTGGTCCCACGTATGTTCCGTATTCAAGACGAACATGATCCTATCTCATTGAACTACACTTCCGGTACCACGGCCGACCCAAAAGGCGTGGTGATTACTCACCGAGGAGCATATTTGAGCACATTAAGCATGATTATTGGTTGGGAAATGGGGGCTTGCCCTGTTTACCTTTGGACTCTCCCTATGTTTCATTGCAATGGCTGGACGTTTACTTGGGCAGTGGCAGCCCGCGGGGGAACTAATGTGTGTATGAGGCATGTGACCGCCCCGGGGATCTATAAAAACATATCAATGTATAGTGTGACGCATATGTGTTGTGCTCCTACGGTTTTCAACATTCTATTGCGAGGAAATGCACTTGAACAGTCACATAGGTCAGGGCCGGTTCATGTGCTGACCGGGGGTTCACCACCGCCGGCTGCTCTTGTTAAGAAAGTTCAGAGGTTGGGGTTTCAAGTGATGCATGCCTATGGGCTTACGGAGGCCACTGGTCCAGTTCTCTTTTGTGAGTGGCCAGATGAGTGGAATAGGTAATGATCATTGGTACAAGTTTATCCTTATATATTTATTATCAGATTTCACATTTAGTTAACATTTACCAAAACGTAAGGGTTTACTAATCTAAAAAGGATATTATCAAAACAAAATAATAGTGATGAAATCTTTTAAATTACATTTAAACATGACAGCCCTATTAATTAATTGAACCAGATTACCAGAGAATCAACAAATGGAGCTGAAAGCAAGGCAAGGGCTAGGCATCTTAGGCCTAGCTGAAGTTGACGTGAGGAACAACAAAACTCAAGAGAGTGTCCCACGCGATGGGAAAACTATAGGAGAAATTTTCATTAGAGGAAGCATCTTAATGAAAGGGTATCTAAAGAATCCCAAAGCTACATTTGAAGCGTTTAAACATGGATGCCTCAATACCGGGGACGTAGGAGTGATTCATCCTGATGGATACATCGAGATCAAAGATCGGTCCAAAGACATAATCATCTCAGGAGGCGAAAACATCAGCAGCGTTGAAGTTGAGAATGTTCTTTACAAGCACCCAAAAGTGCTTGAGGTTGCCGTCGTGGCCATGCCTCACCCTGTGTGGGGTGAAACCCCGTGTGCATTCGTTGTTTTACAAAAGGGTGAGACTGATAAAGAAGATTGTGAAGATAAATTTGGGTATAGAGAGAAAGATTTGATTGAGTATTGCCGTGAGAATCTGCCACATTTTATGTGTCCGAGAAAGGTGATTTTCTTGGAAGAACTGCCCAAGAATGGAAATGGCAAGATCCTTAAGCCTAAACTACGAGATATCACTAAAGGCTTGGTTGATGATAAGGATGAAGTCAATCTTATATCCAGAAACTTTAAGTCTCGACTTTGAGTTTGTGAAGCAATATGCTAAATTATCTTTATCCATTGATAGAAAACGAAACATGTAGACATATAGACCGTGATAATCTTTATGTAGTTACTAGATGACTTTGTTACCATCTTTTGATCAACTCAACCACACATTCTAACTAAAATCTTATTTGATTACGAAGATAGGGGACAAGAGTTTACACGACAGACAAAACAATCGACCCAAGAGTTTAAACAACGATGAATTAAATTAATACAGTGAAAACACGATAAAACAATCACGAAAATAAATGAAATCATCTTGAAGGTTGGAAAGAGCATGCCACTTATAAAGACACTTATCACTTGGATAAAGCATGTCACTTATTTTATATTAATGATTATTTATAAAAAAATATTACAATTATAGTGATTTAATAGTAATATTATATGATATTTATGTTTAGTATTTATTTAGAAAAAATTGAATATTAATAATCTCATTTGCATATCATTTTGAATAATTGTTGGTAGAATTATATATTTGATTTTTAAAATAAAGATTTAGTACTTGTGTGAACCAAAATAAAATTTATTAATTATATTCCTAATATTTGAAACGATTTGAGAACAACTTTACTTCTGGAAAGTTATTTTTCAATTCATAAATATTAAATATTAAATATTTATTATAATTGTAAGGACTAGATAGATTGACAAACGAAGTCTCATTTGTATTACTTTTTTGAGAATTTTTGAGAAATACCCCTTTTGGTGTACCCCTTTTTTAAAACACCCCCTTTATCTATTCATTTTCAAAAATACCCCTTTTAAATATAAAAATTATAAAGTTTTATATAGTTTATAAGGTACTTCTATATAATAACTACTACTGGGAGATTCGATACAAATGTTTTAAAATGTTTAAATAGTTTTAAATCGTTTTTATAAGTTTTTTAAGGTTTTTAAAAGGGTTTATACGGTTTTTATAAGGTTTTTATAAGGTTTTTATAATTTATTTTTACGTTATTTATGAAAGGTATATAAAGTTTTATACACATATAAAGGTAATTTGTGTATATATTTATAAGCTTACACACATATTTGGATAAATTTCAACATTTTTAGTGGGTTTTTTGATAAAGTTTGAAAATGGGGTATTTTTAAAAAGGGGTATATGAAAAGGGATATTTTTGAAATTCCCCCTACTTTTCTTGTGTTACTTTACTTTCATTAAATTAACCTAAAATAATATATATTTTTTACCTAGTACAATATTTTGTTGTTTAAAATATTTTTATTTTGTATGTTATATATTATTTAAAAATATTGAAATAGTTTTAAATCTAATATTATATGAGAAAACTTAAATGACGGGACCTGAAGCAGACTAACTCTAATATGAACTTATAATGTACATTTAGTGTTTATAATTAATAGAAAATTGTATGATTATGATAATAATTTAATAAAGAATAATGTTTTGAGATTATATTTTTAGTGATAATTATGACTATATGTGATAATTTTTTTAGTAATAACTTGTGACCATTTGAAACTAGTTTTGGAGTGATGGAAATGGGAATAATGATAATCACAAAATACTATAATTTTTAGTATTTCTTATAATTATGCCAAATTTTTAGTTATCATTTGTGATAATTTGAAACTATAATTTCGTAATAATGAATATATAATTAAAACATTATGTTAGTCACAAATTGTGACAATGTCAAGATATTTTGTTTGTTTGTAATTGAGAAAATATTGTTATTTTTGTGTCATAATTGTTTTTGATAAAATGGATACCACGTACATATATTAATCACAACTCTTGTGAAGTTTTTGTTACAAAATAAAAATTTGTGACGATTATATTGATACTATTCACAAACCGTCAGAAATTTGTAAAAATTATATTGTGGCTAAATTTATAAAATATTTATATTGTGACAAAAGATTTAAAATAATTGGTTACATAATTTTACCAAAAATAGTTATAAAATAATTTACATATGAGAATACTAATATTGAAAATTTATATAAATATCATTAAAATATTCAAATAACTATAACCTTAAATTTATTTTCATCAGAAAAATTATTAATAATATTTTTTCTTAAAAATAATTCAAAAATTACACAGATATATATTGTCCAAAATTGTAGTTAATTTAATTGAATTTATAGATGAGATATATATTATTTTCTAGTTGACGTTTGACCTGGTAGTCGTAGTATATAAGAATATTGAGACGCGTCTATTCTTCACGATTTCAAGACTTTCATATACTTCAAAAACATCATGTGGATTTACATGGTTTTTTTGGATTTTTAGTATAAAACCTCTCAACTAAAGATATATCGTAACTAAATTAACAGATTATAAGTCGACAAGTTTTTCAATAAAATATAATTGAGGGGATTTATTAGGATATATCTTTAGTTAAGGGCTTTAGTTATTAAAAAGTCTTTTTCTATTATTTAGGAGGACCTCGGGATTGATGACAAAAAAAAAAAGGAGCTCGGGATTCCGCTTTAATTTCCTTATGACATCTAGTGCTTTACCATCTAGTCCTTATATTAGTAGAGAACTAGATATAAATTTAGAATTAGAGTACACGCTAATCCAATTCATGCATTTAAACCATCTTCCCAACGTACAATTAGTATGGATTTTACAAGCTGTATGATGAAATATAGAAAATGTTAAAGTTTATTTGTATGATAAAATGAAGACTATTCTTATTAAATAATTGTACAGTTTCAGAGTTTTTGTTCTTTCTTCTTGGTTATTAAGATTCATTCGAAAAGTTAGGATCAAAATATGTTTTAAGTGTTAGTAGAATATCAAACGATCGAATAAAGTCACATTTCTAATATTGAATTTTGGAATCAACTCATTTCTAATTCAGTGGAACAAACCACGTACAATGATATAATTTCTGATGGCTCTAGGAAAAGATAACTCTCCTCTAAAGGTTGACTTATATACATGAAATTATAACCATTCTAACGAGTGTGTATTGTGTATGTGTAAGATCATCATTAATAGCGGCAATATTTTTGTCTAAACTTTTTTAAGAAAATATCTTATATAAGATATTTTCTTAAAAGAAATCAAAAGAATCAAGAACATAACATTTGATGTAAGTTAAAAAATCTTATGAGATAGTTATAACTCATTAATAATTGTTTTATTAGCGAAGAAAATTAATCTTAAGTGTAGTGTAAGTTTGTATCATCCATTTTAATGATTTTAAACAGTAAAAGTTAATAAAATGTCATTTTAACAAATTAAGTCCATATGTGGTTCTCAACATCTTAAACCAAATTTTTTTGTCGTAACGGATCTGTCGAGAAAGAACCATTTAGTTTTCTCTGATTACAAAACAAAAGCATGTGAACAATAAAAGCAATTGTGAATAAAGACATTTTTGTGCCTAATGTTTTATAAGCTATTAATTGCATGGCACTTGTGTCATTGTCATAGACTGCATTGTATGTCTTTTTCTTCTTCCATATGAATATATGGCCGAACCTTTAGAAAAAATATCTTTAAGATGTAAGAAATCCAAACTAACATATATAAAATGAACCGAGTTATAATTATTCACATCTCTGGACAAACCGTTGGTTATAGACGATACGAATCAAGTTTTCAAAGTTCGGTTTGCTTTTAGAAGATAATTAAAGATTCTTATATTTTCATTCTATAAAAGTTTTCAGCAAATTTCGCCTTTGATGTACCAAAACAATATATTTTTTTGAATCTAATTTACTACAAAAAAATAAAATAAAAAAAAATATGTAAATTTATATACATGGTTTAACCTTACAGTATTGTCTTTATTGACATATAACTCAAGGTCAAGGGCAAGAAATTATTTTATGTGAGATATTTTTCATACACAGAAAAATCTTTTAACATTCCAATATTACCTAAAAAGATTCAGTATAAGTCCACAAAGTCACTCTTAAGTCTTTTTCTATTTTTTTTAATAACTAAGAAGTGTTGGGTCGAAATCCATATATCACTTCGGACCCAGGACTAAAGTATGTTATATGGTTTCGTTTTAAATTATACTACTGGAACCAGTGACTTCTAAGCCTTTGCTATTAAAAAATCTATATACCAGTTGAGATATTAGCACTTGGTCACTCTTAAGTATTAACATGTGGAATCGCATCTTCTTGTTTGCCAACAAAATATATAATTTACTAACATTTTGATCACTTTTCAATATAATATCATGCTTTTGTTATAAACTAAAAAAAAAGTGAGATTAACGTGAGGTGTTTTCTGTGACAGCTTCCCAAACTTTAGGCAATACCTACATGCGATCCATTTATTATTCTTCAAATATTACCTTTTCTATTAATTATGTTTTTGAGGTCCCAAATTCACAATCTTCTCTATATAATATGGATTGGCATATCACTATTCCTTCACATACACATACAAGATGGATAAACTAGTTTTATGTGAAGCAAACAACGTTCCTCTTACGCCCATAACGTTCTTGAAGAGAGCTTCCGAGTGTTATCCCAAACGAACGTCCATAATCGATGGACAAACTCGTTTCACTTGGCCTCAAACCTATGACCGTTGCTGTCGTCTCGCTTCTTCTCTTCTCTCTCTCAACATCACCAAAAACGACGTTGTATGAACTTTTCCCTATACCTTCTTTGTTATTCTCTTATAATCTTTGCTGATGCCTATCAAAATTGGATATTTCTTGCAGCATGATGTAGTAGAAGACCATGTCACTTACTATTTTTAGGAAGGCGATTTTAACGATACTTATTTATTTATCTATATTTTTATCTAGGTCTCGATTTTGGCCCCAAACGTACCGGCCATGTATGAGGTGCATTTTAGTGTTCCCATGACCGGAGCCGTACTTAACCCTATTAACACCCGTCTTGATGCAAAAACCATAGCCGTCATCATCCGCCATGCTGAGCCAAAGATCTTATTTGTGGACTATGAGTTTGCTTCTTTGATCCGAGAAGTCTTACGTCTCCTACCCTCTGGTGAGTCACAAGCTTACCCGCGGATCATATTCATCAACGAGATCAGTTCCACTGTAAAGCCTTACTCCAAGGAGTTAGACTACGAGGATCTCATCCGTAAAGGAGATCCTAAAGTCTCCTCGTCCATGTTCTGTGTCCATGACGAACATGACCCTATCTCTTTAAACTACACTTCTGGCACCACGTCCGAACCAAAAGGTGTAGTGATTAGCCATCGAGCAGCCTACTTGACCGTTTTGAGCTCGATTATTAGCATGGAAATGAGGCTTTTCCCGGTCTACCTCTGGACCCTTCCGATGTTTCACAGCAATGGATGGACGCACACATGGTCTGTGGCTGCACGTGGTGGTACCAATATATGTATGAGAAATGTTACTGCCCTAGATATCTATAAGAACATAGAATTATATAACGTGACACACATGTCTTGTGTCCCTACGGTCTTTAAAATTCTTCTTGAAGGAGATGGAACCGACCAGACACGTTTGTCCCGGCCTGTCCGGGTAATTACTGGAGGTTCACCCCCACCGGCTGCGCTTCTTCAAAAAGTTCAGAAATTGGGATTCCAGGTGATGCACGCCTATGGACTTACGGAAGCCACTGGTTCAGTTCTCTCTTGTGAGTGGCAAGACGAGTGGAACAGGTAAAAATAACCATTATGAGTACTTAAAATTTATATAAAACCATGTAAAAAATCACAAAAATTCAATTGAAAATTCTAAACAGACTACCAAAGCATCAACAAATGCAGCTTAAAGCAAGGCAAGGGGTAAGCAACTTAGCTATAGCAGAAGTTGACGTGAAGAACACGAAAACTCAAGAGAGTGTCCCGCGCGACGGGAAAACAATAGGAGAGATTGTCATTAAAGGAAGCACCATGATGAAAGGGTATCTAAAGAACCCTAAAGCAACAGCTGAAGTGTTTAAAGACGGATGGCTCAACACGGGAGATATAGGCGTGATATATCCGGATGGGCACGTAGAGATCAAAGACCGATCCAAAGACATCATAATCTCGGGAGGTGAGAACATTAGTAGAATTGAGGTTGAGAAAGTTCTTTATGACCACAAGAAAGTGATGGAGGCTGCGGTTGTGGCCATGCCTCACTCTCTATGGGGTGAAACCCCATGTGCCTTTGTTGTTCTAAAAAAAGGTGAAACTAATCAAGGATATGGTGAAAAGGAATCAATGAAGACCAAAGAAAAAGATTTGATTAAGCATTGCCGTGAGAATATGCCGCACTTTATGTGTCCGAGGAAAGTGGTGTTCTTGGAAGAATTGCCAAAGAACGGGAACGGGAAGATACTTAAGCCTAAGCTAAGAGAAATTGCGAAAGGTTTGGTTGTTGATGAGGACGATACCGGTTCCAAGAAAGTTCAAGGAGGGAGTGTTAATCAAGTTAGTTCAAGGCTTTAAGAGTTTACGTATATGATCATTCATCAATGTATTTTATATCAGTTTATGGTTGAATTTATATGTTTCTTGGTTTGCATGGTTTAATCATTAAATTCACAATAAATAAAAAGAAATATATATTACATCTTTTGAAAGCTCGATACTAAATTACATCCAAATAGTGAAAAGAAAAGATGCAAATATGTAAAAGACAGATCACTGATAATTTGTTGTTTATCTATGGATTTTGTATTATTTTTACTGAAAAAAAAGAAAAGAATGTACATTATTAATGAGGTCAAACGGGAAATAATTAGAGAAATAATCATGTTAAAACACATGGATTTTTTAAAAAATATTTATTTTACATGACGACTATTTAGAATTGAGATGAACTGATGAACATGCATGCATTTACAACAAAATATGCAAATTCAGCTCATGCATGCAGACAATTATATTGATGAGTCTTTATCACGAAGAGTCTCCCATGTGTATTTTGGAGAAAGTATATGTTAGTTTGGTTAGTTCTTAACAAAAAATAGTTATGATGAAATTTATGAATTAATTTCTGAAAAGCTTTAAACGTACATTTTACTATCATGTGGCAAAGAAGAAGTGTATTAAGCAGTTAAAGATTATATATGATAGATTTTAAAAGTTACTAGTTAAATATATAGTTTCGATCATTTTGAAAAAGAAGTGATGTTAAGAAGAAACAATCATCACATAATATAAAATATGTTGATTTACCAGTTTCTTACAATTAAGCATACAAAAATCACAATATGAATCTATAAAAAAAAACAGAAAAAAGATCCAATAATTATTAAAAAAACAGAAAAAAGATCCAATAATTAATGCCAAATATAGACATTATATTCGACCACAGCATCTCCACTAATAGGATTATACACAAAAGTCTTGGCCTGTGCCATATCCTCTTCCGAACCTGAACGCTCCCGTACCTCCGATGATCGGCATCTCTCTCACCTCCGACAGTATAGGGTTCCGGCCATACATCGCCACGGTGCTACCGGAAAATTTACCTTTAGTTAAAACCAAGTTAAAAGCCATAAGTAGACCAATCTTGTTCTGGTCGGCCGATGCAAACATCCCTTGTGCTCGACCAACTTCTTCTGATGTTATTTCAGGCCCTACGGTCAATATATCGTCGACGACGGCAACCATACCAAAACCGGTCGCAGAAGAGTTTGTAGTTGGACCGGAAGCTACTTGGACAGAGGTTGGTTTGTCTCCGGAGACAATGTCGTGGAAGTAGAAACGTAAGTGGGTTAGTTTCTCCAGTTTATGTCCTGGATATGGTGCCTTTACTGTTGTTGAGAAAGATTTGGATTCGCTAATCGCGGTGGCTGCGAGAATAAGAGCTGAGAATAGAGGAAGAAGATGAAGGCTAGCCATGACGAAGAAATGGTTGTTTGTGCTACAAATTAAACTCAACTGATCTTTTAGGCTTTATGTGTGAAAAAACTGAAAATGTGATTGCGTTTTTGTGGAAGTGCTTGCTTCATTTATTTGTGGAACCTCACAAGGCCTTAAAAGCCCACCCACAACGACTTGGTTACAAACTTTGTCAAATGGCTTTCGGTGAAGGGACCATTGCCTCTTACTTTCTTTACTTTGTCTCCTCTTTTTCGTAAGATGCTCTAGGACCACTAGCTTATTAACGAGTTAATGTATTGAAATTGTAAGCTAGCCTAGTCCGGTCCATTTATAGTTTATTTTGCATGGAGTATGTAAACTCGAATTTCATATCTATTAAAACACTCGAGTTTCATATTTATTAAATGAGTAATGTATTTTGCTTGGTACGAAACCATATAACATGATTTGGTTTCGGGCCTGAGGGGATGTATGAGCTTTATCCCAGAACCTTTTTGATTATTCGAAAAAAAAAAAACGTAGATTAGATCGAGAGACATATGGATGATGGAAGAGTAGTACCAAACTGTCAAATACACATAATGTTATGAAGAGACCAACAATAACCTTTCTTATATACAGAGACCATCAAATAAAGTACATTTCTATATGAACTTACATGACTTAGAGCACCTACACTGGTAAGGTTCTCGAAATGGTTTCTAATCTAATTAGTATTTTAATATACTTTGATTATTTTTAAAAACTAAAACACTTAAAAGGAAAATTAGAAAATTCTATTTTTTCTTTATTTTTATTGGTGAAATACTCATTAAATATAAACCAATTGAGATGCTCTTACGGAAAACCTGAATAATACATATATGGATCTATCCCGTGAAAAGTCCATGCTAATATGAAGTTGGAACTATAATTGACTATTATTCTCTCCATAGACATATCTGGTTACTATTAAGAAATGTATGAATGGTATGATTATTCAAACTTCATTGAGTCTTCACTTACTATTAAAGAAGTGTTATAAACCGCGTTATGGTAAACTAACATATAAATGAAGTCGACATTTATTCTTGAATATATATGCTTGATTGTTGAATTTCAATTAACTAAATGAATATATTACTGATTCTGTTTTCTGAAATAGTTCAAGTCTATATAGACAATCTAAACGTACTGGTTAACATTGTGATATAGAAGAGAAGCAATGGCAGTAAAGAAAACACAAACTTATCTTCTTCTAAGTTTGCTTCTAATGCTTCTATGTCTATCATTTCATATTATAGTCACAGAGGCTAGGCTCCGTCACGTAGGTTAGTAATCTATTTACCCTCCAAACTTTGCTACACAATTTTGAATATCTTAGAAATTTTTACTTTTAATTAAATGTGATTTAGTCTGGCAAAACTATCAAGAAGTTAGCGATAAATTTCGATTATATTTTGGCATTTTCTTATAGTAAAACCAATATGACTAATCTCTTGATGTATCCAGTTCTCATTTCCACTTCTCCTTCAAGATCTACTCCGCCCTCTAAACCTTGTGGAAGTGGTATTTATCATGTTAATGGAGCAACAGAATCGCCTTGTAGACGACCTTCAAGACCATCTGCTGCAAATCCTTGATCTCCATGTATGTTGAAGAAGACAAATTACGAATCATAATATGTCCCATCCATGGAATATATTTTCTTCACTAAGTATATAGAATTGTTTGTTTCGTTCTTCCTTCTAGTCATATGATATAATATATACATGCAACAGAGATAATATATAATTAATGCCAAATAAAGACATTATATTCGACCACAGCTAGCATCTCCACTGTTAGGATTATACGCAAAAGTCTTGGCATGTGTTTATATAAGATATTTTCTTTGCGAAATTGAGGTATTTTAGCCGTCTAAGATATCCCCAATAATGATGCCCTGACCAATCTTTTTATGGTCGGCCAATGCATATGTCCCCATGGTCATATGTCGTCAACGACCGCAACCATCCTAAAACCGGATGAAGAAGAGTTAGAGGTTGGACCCGTAGCGACAATGTCTTGGAAGTAGAAGCATATGTGGGTTAGCTTCTCTGGTTTATGTCCCGGATATGGCGCCTTCACTGTTGTTGAGAAAAATTCGGATTCTCTAATTAAAGGAGTAGAAGAAGTGATGGCTAGCCAATGCGAAGAAATGGTCGTCGTACTACAAACGCAACTTGATCTTTCAGACTTTTGTATGAAAATGTGACTGAGTTTTTTTGTGGATGTGCAAACCTCACAAGGCCTTTAATGCCAAAAAAAATTCTTGGTTAGAAACTTTGCCTTCGATATGCCATTAACAAATCTTATATAAGATAGGATCTTGATACCTGTTAAGATTCCACCAATAATGTTGGTATAATAATAAATTATAGTCATATGATTCAGTGAAAGGACCGTTAGAGTAACCTATGCATATGAATTTAATTGATCACATTTCTGTTTATTTGTTGATGCCAAAAAGGTAATTAGTTTGGTAAATACTCCCGACACTTTTTAATAACTGGAGTTTAAACCGGGGGATGCCTATACTATTGCAAAAATTTGTATAAACCAAAAATCAAACTAATTTAATTTGAAAATAATAACCAGAAAAACATATACTTTTTTTGTAATAAAGAGATGATTTGGGTGTTTGTTTTACCATATGACAAATTCTTTATAGATCAATATAATTGTTCTGAGTAGCCCAAACACCAAATGGAAGTTTATCGAATTTGACACAAATTAATGCAAGAAAATAATTAAACCTCTATTTGATATGATCCAGAATAAAATAATTCTAGGTCCACCCCTAGATATATCCCTTCAAAGTCCATAACATTTTGAATTTGATATTATTGAATGTTCTTCTATACATTAGCATATGGTATGACTTGGTCCAAATGTCTAATTTTAGAGTCATATTCCTTTCTTTATTTCTTTCTTTTTCTTTTCTTTAAGAGATGCCCTTAACGTTTTGACTGGACTGAGAATGTATATATAAAGGCCAAAAAGCTTGACCAATTCAAAGAAAAAAATACTCTTGTGTAGTAACGAAAAATCTTCACGTGAAATAAATTCAGGTTTACATATTTTTTGAATTAATAGATCATCAAACTATTCAATGATGTAATATTCAAACTTTTAACTAAGTCTTTAATATTAAAGGAGAGTGACTTAATTATGCACTACTCACTTTATCTTACTTTTCTCCAATAATTTCAGTTTCCTATATATACAGCCTAAAACTAGTAACCATGTAACACACAAGAGGAGCAATGGTAGTAAAGAAAAAACAAATGTCTCTTTTTCTAAGTTTGCTTGTTATGCTTCTATGTCTCTCCTTTCATGTCCCAACCACGGAGGCTAGACTCCGTCACGTAGGTCAGTATCTATTTATCCCAAAAACTTTGCTACACGATTTCTTGAATATTTTGTAAATTTTATTTTTAATTAACTGTGATTTAGCCTTGCAAATATTTTGTAAACTTTGTCTCTTTTGATAAATTTCGATATGTTGTGTGGCATTTTCTTATAGTGAAAACAAAACGTTTAATCTCTTGATGTATATATCCAGTTCGCATTCCCGTTTCTGCTTCGGTATCTACTCCGCCCTCTAAAGATTGTGGAAGTGGTATTTATAATGTTAATGTAGCTACAGAAGCGCCTTGTAGACGCCCTACAAGACCGCCTGGTGCAAATCATTGATCTTTTATGCATATTGGAGAAGACAAATTACGAATCATAATATGTCCCATGGATTATATTTTCTTCACAAAGTATGTAATTGTTTGTTTCGTTCTTACTTTTTTTCATAGAACCTATTAGTAACGTGGCCTAACTAATCCCAAAAACTATTTCAAGGGAGAAGGATTGCCACATCCAGGGCCGGCCCTACCCTAAGGCAAGACATAATTGAAGTTGTTGTTAGTCTAATGGTTTTACCATTTTTGTTCACACAAATCTTTTGTAGTCACCCAGTTTCGATTCCACATGTTTATGTTTCCATTTTCTATTTTATTATTTATTTTACCTTAATACATATATATATATATATATATATATATATATTTCAACTACTTTTATACATATTCGATCTAGTTTAAATATTTATTTAAATATATACATATGCAACTAGGAAAATATTACTAAATTTTTTTTTTCTATTAATTCTGTAAAATTTTCAAAATGTAAAATAACGTTTTTATAAATTTGCTTTAGGCTTCATAAACTCTAGGACCGGCCCTGGCCACATCCTATATATATTGCCCAAAGATTTTAATCCCAAACAATGTGACACTTTGGAACTCTAATAAAACCTAAATTTTTATAATTTTTATATTCTAATAATCATAAACAGGTGGAAAAGAGTTTACAAAAACTACTTCCACAAACTATGGCTACACGAGTTAGACCATTTTTTATTGAATTTTTGCTTGACAACTTAATTTTTTTTTTAAATAATATAATATATACATGCAACGTAACAGAGCTAATAATTAACGCCAAATATAGACATAATATTCGACCACAGTATCTCGCACTAGTAGGATTATAAACAAAAGTCTCTTCCAATGATCGGCATCTCTCTCACCTCCGACAGTACTATAGCATATTTTATTTTTATATATACAAAAATAATAAGAATTTGATTTTAAAAAAGGAATAGAGAAATACTTTAAAGATGAATATGATCGTTCTGAGTAGTTCATTCACCAAAATGAATCTAAAACTATAACATTATTTTGACTACCAAATAAAAATTATTATAATTGTGCGTTCGACAATATGTCAGATGTGTCAATACCTTAATCGGTAAAGATCTCTGACAAAATCATAAAGATCGCTGTTTCGAGTGGGGTTTGAGACGAGATCATATAAAATGTTCCGAGGGAATGTATAAGATTCGGCCAGAACTTCTTAGTTATTCAAAAAAAAAAAAAATTATGTGTTCGAGGGAAGTTGATTGGTGTGATCAAAGTTCAAGGCCAGTCACCTGCTGTAAGATTACATCACGTGATAGTACATAACATGATTCTTTCGATTTTTGAGCTTGAATTTGAGTTGTCTACCATCCTCTTTCAATCAACAAAGATGAAACTAAGACAAAGATGGTATGAATATTCGTCTTTCATCTTTGTCTTAGTTTTGTTGTTTTTCCTTTATTGAATATTCGTCTCTACATTAGCATATGGTATGACCTGGTCCAAATGTTAAATTCTACAGGCAGCGAGTACAAACCTTTTAGACTCATAAACCTTTTAACTGGATTGGGAATGTATGTGGTCGTCTCCTTTATGTATGTGACCAGTTCAAAGAAAACACTCTCTTGAGTATAAACTATTCAATGCTGTGATATTCAAACTTAACTCAAGTCTTCAATAGTAAAAGAGAGTGACTTATGCACCCTACACTCACTTAAGTCTTCAATATAGAGTAAATAAATGCTCTGTGGTTTAACATGAATTTTTTTCTCCAATGATATTAGTTTTCTATAAATACAGCCTAAAACTAGTAAACATGTAATACACAAGAGGAGCAATGCTAGTAAAGAAAAAACAAATGTCTCTTTTTCTAAGTTTACTTATTATGCTTCTATGTCTCTCCTTTCCTGGCCCAGTCACGGAGGCTAGACTCCGTCATGTAGGTCAGTATCTATTTATCCCAAAAACTTTGCTACATGATTCTTAATATTTTGTTAAATTTATTTTATAACTAGTTGTTGTATGGGAATATTATCTGTTTTGCCAGTTTTTAATCCAAAAAAACTGGAACTGCCACTTTCCTCTAGGTATTTTATAAAGTTCCACAAACAGTGAAAAGGGATAAGGTAAGAAGACAAAACTACCCTCCAGCAGGAGAACAGCTTTTGCGCAGTATTAAAAAAAAACTGATTTGACAGGATTTTTGGCAGGGCACAGTGAACATTAATGAGTGAAAAAGTGAATCTATTACCCATAGGATAATTGAAGGACTATATTTATACGCAACAGTTATGGTCTACAGAGATGATGCAGGTCTGTTGTCCACTAGCATACTGGGACACTATGAGGAACATGTCCATGGTCGTGGACAATTGGCGGATGTTGAATCCGAAAAGACAATAGACACTAGCAGGATGGGACACTCTGAGGAACATGTCCATGGTCGTGGACAATTGGCGGATGTTGAATCCGATAAGACAATAGACATTAGCAGGCTGGGACACTCTCAGGAACATGTCTGTGATGGTGGACAAAAGTGGGATGTTGAAGCTGAAAAGGCAATGGAGAATAAATATAATGATTATGTGTCGTCTACCAATAATATGTTGTCCATTAATTATATGCAAGGTAGTCGCAAATAAATGAGGTGGGAGCACATAGGGATCAAATTCATCATGCGGTTGACCAATACTGTTGGCTCTTCCAATTTTTTTTACATTTGGCCTGTAACAAAAAATCGGGAAGCGATGAAATTTTGTCGCCGATGGACAAAATCCCAATAAAAAGGATAAATGTCCATCTCTGAAACATATCTCGTAGATGTGTGAATGTCTATTGCCTGAGCATTGATGGATGAAGTTTGATGTACATTACAGTCAATGGCTTTGAGTCCAAGGAAGAGTCCATTATGCAATCTGCTACTGGCTAGAGTTGAACATAAAAGACATGTTAGAATAATGGACGAGTTAGTATAATAGCTTTGGTCCATGAAGAACGTAAAATGACAAAAATTGTAATGGACAAGGTATTATAATGTACGAGTTAAATAATAAACATGGTCTATCATATACTCACTCTATGGTTCCTCGATGGACAATACCTGATCTCGTATCCGGACCGAGATTGTTGTCATGCGCCGCGAGACAAAGAGAATCTATGGACAAAAAAACAACTGCTCATATCGGTGGACCAAATAAAATGTCCGAGTTAAATAATATCTAGTCCTTGATGGACAAATACTCACTCTTTGGTTCTTCGATGGGCAACACCTGATCTATTGTTGACATGCGTCGTAGAACAATCATCTGATCTGGCCATCAACTTCGTTGGGATGACAAAAATCAAAATTTAGATGAGTGGACAAAATTATACCGGATGAGTTGGAAAATAGATCTGGTCCATCAAATACTAACTCTTTGGTTTCTCGATGGACAACATCTGATCTGGCCATCAACTTCATTGGGATCTCATATTTGATAGAACATTCACGTCGTCTGCCATCAAATTCGTTGGGATCTCATACTGGGTAGAATGATTCACCGTTTGTTCTATGGGCTCGCCGGCTATGACTGCTCCGTCGGGAATGAGAGAAAAATAGGTTTTTACAGCTTCGTCAGAAAGGGATCTATCTTGGCAGGATATAATAGAGTCTGGTGGGTTAATTTCGGTGTTAGGTAGTAGAGCTTTTTTCGTCGGTGGCGCTGGCTACGGAAGGAGGAGAGTCATCCATAACCATAAAAATATGAATGTTTTTCTTCGATGAATGAGGGTGGAGAAATTTTTTAATAAAAAAATAGAGATAATTTGTCGTTTATCCATCATATTGTTAGGAGAGTGTGAGGAAGAGACTGTTGGGGAAAGACCAACGAAAGGTCATATTTTTTTAGCAACAAAAACATGTTTGAGGTTTTGTGAAAGTCATAAAAAAGGGCAAAATCGTCTTCTTTCATGTGAAGTGTGGCAAGCGGGAAAAGAAAATAGGATAAGTGGCAATCTATATAATTTTCGGTACTGTTCATGTCACTGCCAACAATTTTCTCTTGTTGTATAGTATTGCAAAATAACAAGAACTTAATTATTGTTAGCCTATAATATTTCGATTTTTGTTTGGATACTAATGCATATTAAGAATACTGATGCATAAACTTGATGTATAAAACACTTAGGGGGTTATTGGATCATTGATTTTGATGGATTTGGAAATCCAAACAAAAATCATATGTTATGCAATCATTGATTTTAAAATAACTATCAAAATCATGTGTTATTGGTTGTATGATTTAGAAAGTTACAATTCTATGTTATTCGTTTATTCTTTGAATGGCAGTAGTTTTTAGAACAGATTTTGGTTTTTGATTCTAAAAAGCTAAAAAAAATTGCCATTCATGATTTTGCTAAAAACAGATTCCCTTAAATTTAAATTCCATGAGATTTTACCGATTCCTTCATAGAATCTAAAAACCATTTTTTCAGCGTTCTAACAAATTACGTGACTTTTTCTTATTGATTATTACTTTTTTATTTATTAAAAAATTGCCATTCATGATTTTGCTAAAAACAGATTCCCTTAAATTTAGGAAAATCAGATTCTATGAGATTTTACTAATTCCTTCATAGAATCTAAAAACCATTTTTTCAGCGTTCTAACAAATTACGTGACTTTTTCTTATTGATTATTACTTTTTTTATTTATTTTTCAAATAAAAATCTTAGAAAGACCAAAAACTAAGCAAATTACCATTCAAGATTTTACAAAAAATAAAATATACAGCAAAAATCAAAAACTAAAAAACCAAAAACCAAAAGACCAAAAACTAAGCAAATTACCATTCAAGATTTTACAAAAAAAAAAAAAAATATACAGCAAAAATCAAAAACTAAAAAAACCAAAAGTCAAAAGCCAAAAACTAAAAGCTAAAACCCTTTAAAAACTACAAAACCTTCATAGCCTTAGTGATTTGTTTTTGGATTTTAAAATCCGCAGTATGTTTTAAATGAATTTGAAATGATTTGATATAAAATAGAAGGATTTAAATCCAAGGATAAAACATGTTATTTCAAAATTCATGTATTTTAATTTTATAAATAATAAGGTATCACAAATCTTATATGGATTTACATATCAATAAACCAATAACACCCTTTAATGCTAGTTAATGTTTTGAATGGCGTACAAGAAGTTCAAAATGTAAAATTATTAAATTACCTAAATTTGAAAGTTCATAGTTTTTGACATTTTTCTCATTTATTTATTTAAAAGAATAGTTTTTTATTTGTTTTAAAAAAATTCACTTTATAATTTTCTTTTCATTATTTTTTCATGTTTTTATAATTATCAATTACTTTTTTTTATTTTAAACATCTCTAATCGATAAAATTAACACGTGTCACGACACGTGAGTTACTAACTTTAATTATATAAGATATGAATATTAAGATTTTAAAAGTCACTAATATATAGTTAATCACAAAAGAAATATTTTAATCCCCAGTTGGTAATTTATGCACATATACAAATTTCATGAAAAAATAATTAATTACAAATTAATAATTTAACTAGCACAAATTCCTTACCTACTATGTTATATACTACCTCTGTTTTTAAATAGTTTACGTTCTAGGTTCTAGGTTTAGTTGTTTATTTATTTTTTTAAAATTAGTTGTCGTGGTTGTTTTCTAATGTCATTTTTTAGTAGAAGAAAACTATCTCAATTCTCCCTTATTAAATAAATAAAACATTCAATACTTTGGAATTTCTAATAGCTAAGCAAGAGTTTAATAGGTTCTATTATTTCTTAAACTGTGTGAACAATCTTATATAACAACTAATTAATAACGAAGATAGTAATTAGATAATTCCTTACCTACTACTATCATTATTTAATATCTCCCTTATAATTAATAACGACTGATTGAGCCAGCCTTGCACAATTGTTTGTAGCAAAAAAATGCAAAGTCGTCGAACCAAAAGTAAGTTTCTTTTTAGTATTGACTTAAAATATAATTGTTGACTTAGAGTTTACAATTGTTTCCTCCAATAATTTTCTTCTTCTTTTGGTTTGCTCCATTATAAATTCTACGTTAAACTGGTCGACGACATGTGAGTGTGAGACAAGAGGACCAATGGTTATGAAGAAAACAGCTCAAGCTTCTCTTCTTCTAAGTTTTCTCCATATACTTCTATGTATATCCTTTCAGCTTCGTGCCACAGAAGCTATACGCCCTAACCTAGGTCAGTACCTTCTTATTATGATCTTCCTCTCATATTAAGTCTATGAATATTGTGGTCTATGTGTATTAACTTCTTGGTATGAGTTTGGCAGCGATGCCCCCAAGTCCAATCTTAAATCCACCACCACCCTCACCGGTATGGCCATCTCCACCATGTGGATCTAATATTGGAAGTCAAGTTACGGCAGTAAAAGAGAAGCTTTGCAGACAAATCTCAAGGCCTCTTAAACCTAAAAAGAAGAAAGCTCCAAAGCCTCTAATTAAGACCAAAAAGAAAAATACTTCAAAGCCTCTGAAATCCAAAAAGAAGAAAAGTCCAAAGCCTCATGCAGCAATACCGTAATCTTCAAGCAAAGACGTTCACATATAAAACCATTACTTCTCACCTTTGAGAGAACTCATTAAGTATTTTATTGCATTGTCAAGCATTTTGTATTGACCTCGTTCTTCAATAAATATATTTTCATTATTTTGTAATCACTTTTATAATGAATGTTTGACATTTAATCTAGCTAGGAATCCACATTATCGTAAGTATGAGAATTTTATAACTAGCAACCAGGTATTATAGAAAACAGAGAACCATGTTGAGAGGTTATTAAAACATCTTTAATAAGCATGGAGTAAAATAAAAGAATGACGAACGTGATATATAGTTGGAATGAAACTACAAAAATACTTCTCACTAATTTCATGGTCTCATGTTTTCTCAAGGCTGTGCATTGTTTTGGTGAAGTAACAAATAAATGATCTAATTGCTCATGAAAGATGTTATCAATAAGGTGGGTCATCAAAATGTTTTGTAAAAAATCACTTATAATATGACAAATTGTGAGGCAACCGAAGAGAATTTGTTTCCTCACAACTTTCACAGACCTCGGATCATTGAAGAGGGGAAGATACCGAGGAATCCCGCTACTACTCGACTTAGAACTATATCAAGAAAAAGGAAGATGACAGTGAAGATAGTTATAGCCTCAAAACTCCCCAAAAGCAAAATTTTCCAAAAAGAAGAAAAGATGAAAAGACAAAAAAAAAACAAGGCTCGAAGTTTGTCTTGAGTTCAACAGAATTTATGGACGAAATTTTCTAAAGGGGAGAAAGATGATGAGCAATGTTCGTAGATCTAATTTTCATTGCTTGATATCTCCAATATCATTTTCTCTTACTATTTTTGAAAAAGCAATCAAAAAGGTTTAATCGCAGGAAGAACGTGGTCAGATGGATTAGCATTGCTTTGTCTTTTGACCAACAAGAAGAAACTCTGCCTTTAGTAGTAAGACTTTAGGAAATTAGAGGACTCGCACCTAGAGCAAATGTATATTTACATTTTGAAGGTAATCAATTTTATTTACTTGAGTAGGTATCAATTTTTTTATGTTTATTACGATTTATTTTATAATATATTTAGTTCACCATTAAGTTGTTCTTTATTATAGAAGGAACTAGTTATGTTGTATTAAAGATGGAATCGACATTCAATACGATAACAAAAGATATTGTTTTGCCATTGATCCTATAAATGAATCATCAAGAAATACCTACACCAGAATTTCCGTTGTATTGAGGAGAAAATTAGTGAAAAAGTCGTATTAAGGATTTGAAGAAAGGCATACCCTCAATCCGAGTCGCGTTGGATGTTGCAGCTTTTCTTTTGGATTTAGCCTCTATTGAAGGAACTTGATCTGAATCCGTAAACCAAATTGCTAAATGTTATGAAGAGACATGGCTACTAATACATATTTTCAATTTCATTTTGTACACATTCTGAACCCAAATCATATGAAAACTACTTGTTTATAATGAGAAAAAGCTTCTTCCATTGTTCAATTCAATTTTGGTAAACTACTCAAAAAAATATGATGATATTTTCTATCTAGTAAATATCTTATAGATATTTCTTTTTTCAAAAAATAAAATATCTATTTCTTATCTAAATTTTATATATGCTCTGATGATTTATTATACTTAAAAAATCAAATTTTCTCAAATTTTATTATTTATTATTTTGTTAAAAATAATTTATTAATAAATTTAGGTAAAATAAAATAAAAAGGAGGAGTAAAGTTTGATGTGATTTATTTACTTACATCTTAAGGAAAGAAATCATAAATAACAATTTTATTTGAATAACAAAATTATAACTAATCCATTTTATGTTTTAAGTTATATGATATTTAATTTTATTAGAAAATAAATTTGAAAATTACATTTTTGTAACAATGATACCTTTTTAAAAAAAACTATACATATACCATATAACTCACAAACGAAATGGAGTCAAATAAAATAATTTTAAAGAGAATTTTTGAGAAATACTCCTTTTGGTGTACCCCTTTTCAAAAACACAATTTTTATCTATCCATTTTCAAAAATACCTCCATTTAAATATAAACAATTATCAATCTTATATGGTTTATAAGGTAATTCTAGATATAACTACTACTAGGAAATTTGATCCAAACGATGTATAAGGTTTTAAATTTTTTTACAAGGGTTTTTAAAAGTTTCTAAATTATTTTTAAACGATTTTTATAAGCTATTTTACGGCATTTATATAATATATATATATATATATATATATATATATATATATATATATATATATATATAAATTTACACACATAGAAAGATAATTTTGTATACATTTAAAAGATTACACACATATATGGACATATATCAATATTTTGGTGGCTTTTTCGATAAATTTTGAAAGAAGTGGTGTTTTTGAAAACGAGTATTTCAAAATTCCCTAATTTTACAGTATTAAATTAAAATTTGAAAAATACTCGTGTCATAAGTGTAATGCACTAAATATAGCATTGTTTAGACAAAGTTAAAAAAAATCTTATCCTACTATATAGGATTCACGTTCTTTTCCTTTTTCCTTTCTTTTATATTCTTCGTGTGCAACACGTTAATATGTCTCTCTCAAAAAAACGTCTTGCAAACGTCCCAGCCAACGCGAATCTTATTTTTCTGAGCTGTCTCCATCTTCAAAACGTCTCCGCCTACATAATTAAGCCTTGTGCTTCATAGGTTAATACGTAGTCTCCTTTGTCTGTCGAGTATATATATCGGCCAAGCCGCCCCGTGCCTAAAGCCCAACAAGCAAGGGCTTTAGGCAGCATATTTATATTTAAGTTTTTAGGGGCAGCATGTAGAATGTCCTTTAGTATAGTGGTTAAGTAGCTGCAATTTACTTCCTGATACAGGTTTCAATCCCAATAATATTAACTTTCGGAAATTCATATGGAGCCACCAGCTAACAAAGACTAAACCGAAGTTCTTTTACAGCAGGCTTTGACCATTTTGAGCCATTCATGTCCTTTTGACTCACCGAGACACTGTCCAAGACTAATGTGTTCAATATAAGATAACCATCAACTTGTAATATAGCTAACCTGAAAAATGTGTTATGTAAACCTGCAATATAGCTTCTTAGTTGTTTATGGCTAAACCTTTCAGTATCTACTTTTTACGGTAGTTAGTGTATCTAATTGGATTCTTTCTTCACTGTTTCCAGAAATCATAAGATAATTGAACTATTTAACAAAAGGTTCAGAGTAATATGTTTAGGTCATATGAATTAGCGAATCACAACAATGATGATCTTTTTTATTAACCAGATGCATATTCTGCAAGGTACATAATAATTTTCATATGGTAATTAGCGATAACCGGTAGTTTAAATTTCTACAAAAGTTATTTTGTTGTTATTTTGATTTGGTTATATGAATATTTTATTAGATTTAATATTTTTAAAACACTAATTATTTTGCTGTTGCTCTTTAGCTAATTCATGAATTGAGGTGGACGGTCACAAATATTTTTATTATTTGAACTTTGAAATAAATAAATTTAAATATAAGATACATGAATATTTTATTAGATTTAATATTTAAAAAAGATTGATTAATAGTTTTAACTAAATCTAAAACGAAATGTTGATCTATTTATAAAATTAAAATAAAAATAGTTAGTCTTGGAAAAAAAAATGTGAGTCACAATTTTCAGTTTTCTAAAAAATGTCTCTCACTCTAAACCTCATAGTCAATTATCTAATTTTTAATTGTTTCTCGGCCTTTTTTTTTTTTGAAAAACTAACTTTGGAATCCATGTTATAATGTGTGGTTACGTTGTTGTTATTTTTGTTGGAGGACATAACAATGGAGCTTTCAAAACATTTGGACAAAACTTCTTTTACAGTTATTCCATCAACACTAATTAAGCCTAAACAATTTATCTAGTTTTAAGTGAAACGAACAACTACCAAGTCTCTCCACAAGTCGCAAGATAGTGATGATTGCATTATTTTCTCCAAATGATCCTTTTAAAGAAGGAAATGTTAAGGTTAAGGGAAATTAATTTTTCTCAAAACTTCGATAACTCTTTTTAAAAAATTGCATTTACATTTTTGATGAGTATATATGAAAAATTTCTGAAAAATAGGTTAGTGTTGTTGAATCAAAAAAAAAAATGTTGAGTAACAACTTATTACGATCCATTGGTTACGATCTATTGGTCAGAAGAGGCTGGACTATTATAGATTTCCAATTTCATTTTGTACATAGAGTGAACCCAAATCATATGATAATTACTTGTTTATAGTGAGAAAAAGCTTCTTCCATTGTTCAACTCATTTTTGGTAAACTACACAAAAACAATCTAATGATATTTCTTATCTTATAAGAAAATATCCTATAAATATTTCTTATATAAATTATATATATGATCTGATGATTTATTATCTGGAAAAGTAATCAACCTTCCTCTAATTTTATTATTTTCATAGATTTCACTATACTAAAAGTCTAAAAGTAAACAATTCACTTTAGTTATTTTACTATTTGATTTTATATAAATTAAAAATATCTTACAAAACAATTTATTAATAAATTTATGTAAAAATGTTTTAAAGGAGGAGGAAAGTTTGATGTGATTTACAGTAAAACCTCTATAAATTAATAATGTTGGGACCATGAAAATCTATTAATTTATAGAGGTTTTAATTTATCGATAAATTAATAATTATTAATTTATAGAGAGATTTTCCTAATTTGGAAAGTTTTTTCAAAAAAATAATTAAAAATAAGATTTAATCATGAGAATTAGTATTTTATATAATCAATTACAAAGAAAATAATAATTATTATGTCTTGAAAGAGAATGCTAACTATTTCTGATATAGTAAAATACTAGAAATAAACTCTAACAAAAACTAATGTGTTTATATATGCATATATTTTGAAAAATTTACCTAATTATTAATTTATAATATTGTTGGGACCATATATTTACAAAGGATTTTCAAAAAAAATATTATCTTATTATTTTATCGAAATATGTCTAAAATTACACTGGTCCCAAATTGGGACGGAGAAATTTATTAATTTATAGAGATTATTAATTTATCGAGTATTAATTTATAGAGGTTTTACTGTATTAACTTAAATTTTAAGGAAAAAT